TATACTATATATATATATATATATATATATATATATATATATATATAATATCATCTTTATAAAAGGAAAAGCAATACCAACTAACAAAAGATTGCATTGAAATTATAATCAGCAGCTTAGTAGCTTGGGGGGGCAAGGTCAAGTGACACAAGAAGCCATACTGATTAGCTTCTTGTTTTACCGCACATGTATACTAGTTACAGAAACAAGCTTAGATACTCAGAAATAACTTTAACCAAAACAATTACCAACCGCAATCTCATGAAAGATAATTCATTGAGAAAATATGATGAGCACAACAAACATGTGAACAGGTGAACTCATTTATTTTCTGAAAGAATGGCTAACCTTCCATAAGAACTCTTTTTCTAGATGTTCTGACATTATCTTTGATGGGAACTTCACGGGAATCATTAGGAGCAGAAACATCTTGGTTCTCTTTCATGGTGTTCTTGTATTGTTCAAAAATAGCATCAAGAGCACATGGAATTCCTGTTTCTCCATCTTTCGAACAATTGAATCGTCCATTCACACACTTACTTGTGTCTTTACTGCATGTTGGCACCGAGAATTTCTTGTTTGCCTGCGAACATTTAGGTCCCATTAACACTTGAATCAAATTAGGTAAATTATTGTACAAGTTGAGAAATTGCACACCCTGATATGGGACAACCTATAATAATTTCTACAGATGCTCAGGAAACCAGTTCCATGTTCCAAACACATGCAAATATAGAACACTGCTTATTGCAGTTTTATAGAACACAAGTAATACAAATGACAGAACTTAAAAGTAAACTACAGTTTAGATCCTTTCAAATATTTGACATTGATTGAAGCCGGTAACCTCACCACCTGTTCCAATTATATACTCGAGTCTTTAGGTATTTCGAAAGAAAATTTTAGCTCAGACCAAGTGACCATATTTAGTCCATACTCCATCATTGAAGGCATTAAGTGCACTTCCGTGAACAGAGTCTAGAATTAACAAGAGTTCATAGAATTAGGAACATATACATTCTTAAAAGAAATTATTTAAATTTCTCTAACCACACATATATGTAACCGAGCTTGAAACTGTGGATGCAGGTCCATCCACTGCTTATACGTGTTGTATTGACCTACAAGTTCTATATTCATCTATAACAACATACACAGTGTAATCCCACAAGTGAGATTCTGAGTGTAGCATGTGCGCAGACCTTACCCCTAACTTGGGAGCTAGAAAGGTTAGGCCTATAGAAGTTCTACATTCAGCTACAATGTGAAATCTTGAAGTAATGGCAACTAACAAACAGGACACAAAGTTCCCAGTTCTTCCAATTTTTGAAATCTTTCTTGGGATCCCAATAGAATTTTTTTTTTCCATTTGTAGCATTTCCATGAGAACACAACAACATACTGAGTGTACTTCGACAGGTCGGGTGAGGTGTACACGGACCCTACCCCTACCTTAGCAGGTAGAGAGGTTGTTTCTAATAGAACCTCAGCTTTCATGAGAAGACAGAAACTGTAATGCAACAACATACGAAGTGCAATCGCACAAAGTGGTGTCTGAGGAGGATAGTGAGCACATAGACCCTACCCCTACCTCGGAAGGTAGAGGGGTTGTTTCCGATAGACCCTCAACTTCCATGAGACACGGAACTTAAACAATTTAGCTTACTTACAGGAACTACTCCGGGCAAAACAGGACTTCTGTGCAATTTTTTGCTGAGGAAGTCGGAAAGAGATATGCTAGAACCCTTTTGATTGGAACCTCTGATTTCCACTTTCTTCTCACAACCAGTAGACCTTAACAAAGCACAAAAAATGAACAACAGATCCATAACTACACCCAGAAAACTAAAAACAGAGAGATTAACTTAACACGAAGCTGAAGTTCATTCATAAAAACTAAATTTAACACCAAAATCGAAACCCTAGATCACAAACGAAACCCAACAAGTTTTAAAAACAAGAAATTTAACCAAAAATGTGATTGTTAAGCAACAAAAGCGAAACCCCAGATCACATGCGAAACCAAACAAGCTAAAAAAACAAGAAATTTAACCAAAAATGTGAAATTTAAGCAACTAAATCGAGACCCAACAAGCTACAAAAATAAGAACTTTAACCCGTAAATCTGAATTTTACGCAACAAAATCGAAACCCCAGATGACAAACAAGACCCAACTAGCTAAAAGAACAAGAAATTTAACCAGAAATGCAAATTAAGCAACAAAAGTGAAAGCCCCAAATCTCTAACGAATGAATACAGTAAAGTTCCATAACTCCATTCTTACTGATTTGGAGAACGAAAGAGAAAAGTTGAAGCAATTGACCGCTGTCCCAATGGTAGTATTTCAGGTTGCTTTTTCATCTTCTTCACCAAAAAAATTCTTCAAAATGCGATTTTGGGTCAATTTGTACTTTGCTTTTTCATCTTCTTCACCAAAAAAATTCTTCAGAATGCGATTTTGGGTCAATTTGTACTGCAAATTTGGCGCATAATTTGAAATTTTCACCAAAAAAGAGGGGATAAAAAAGTTCATGGGGTGAGAGAGGCTCGAACTCTCGACCTCAGGATTACTCAGAAGCTATGAGACCTACGCGCTAGCCAACTGCGCCACCACCCCTTTGCTGCTATTACTTAGCGATTTATGTTCTTACCTCAACATAGTAGAAATCATCGATTCAAACCTATCTATATAACTATAAATACTTCTCTTTATAACGATTGACGACTAATAAAGAAATAATATCAAACAAAATAAAATGAAGGAAGTAATCATATATTCACGATTCACTTAATTATTAGTCCATTCACAAAAGGACTAACTACGCAAAGTAAAAATACACGAGGGGCAAAATGGAAAAAATGAAAAAGAATATGAACCTTGTGGTTAGATCGATAATATCTTTCTACGTGTAATTAGAAATTTCAGGTTCAAATTTTGAATATGATACATATATATAAAATTTCAATACGAATATAGAACATCGAATAAATTGATAGTGCTTCTCACTTTTTCCTATTACTATTTATGAGAAAGCTTTACAAAGCATATATCTATATATATAGTATTAATAATATTTTCTAGTTCTATATATTTAAACTTCTTAATTTCTTCTAGCTCCCTAATATTTCCCAACTTGGAAGTAACCATTTGGTTCATGGATATTCATGGCAAAAACAACTACACAACTACAAATTCTTGTTCTTTTCTTTCTGCTACTACTCATGAACACTTATTCTTCAGGATTTAACGTGAGAGCCCATCGAGATTACTCTCCAACAAGCGAAAAATCCACCATGCAAGTTCTTCCCAAAAAATCACCTACTACCACGACCACCACTACTGTCACTACCCCTACTAGGGGTGCAACCACCCCTAATGCGAGAGGGCAATATGGGGTGGCTGCTCATAGTGTTCCTAGTGGTCCAAATCCGGAGTCCAATCGATAAATCAAGTGAGGTTGCTAGAGTTAGTTCCGCTCTTGCTTATCTTTTATTTATGCATTCAGCTCGATTAATTTGAATTTAGGTCATATAGGACCTATTAATAGAAGAAGCGCGCTCTCTATTAGGATTTTTTCTCTTTATAAGATATGATGTGTTTTCTCTTGCTATTATTTGAACATTTTTTTGTTTTCCTTCTTATAATAATAATGTATATGAAGAATATATATATATAT